GTGGAATCCCCCATCCCCCCATCCCCATCCTCCCCCATCCTCGCCCCATCCTGGGGTGGTGAATGGTACCATCCGTCAGGCGCCGACGGAAGGTATCAGGACCCACCGACTGGGAAGGTGTGGAACCCCCATCCCCCCCATCCCTCCCCATCCTCGCCCATCCTGGAGGTAGGAATGGTACCATCCGTCAGGCGCAGACGGATGGTACCATCCATCTATCGACTGAAGGGCGGAATACCCTCCCATCCTCGCCCAGGTGAGTTATTATTTCCTCCCATCCTTTCCTCCTTCGTTTTACCACTTTTCATTCTCTCTCACCTCTTTTCTCTCCTTCTCACCCCTTCCTCTCCCTCCTCACCCACCTCCTCTCCGTCTACGTGAGTCTGACAGCGTGGGAACTGTTCTCTCCAGTCACGCCTCCTGTCATCCGGGTGTCAGCCGTGACGACCCGCTGACAGCTGCACTTTCCTCTCAAAACACACGCGGATCAGGGCATGATTGATGGCCGAATGATTGATTGAATTGAAGGGATATGCATTTTGATAGATTGACAGACAGGCAGATATAGACTGATGATTGAACAAATAATTAGTTGAATAAATTGATAGAAACGCACAAACTTTATACACACACATCAATCATCTACTTCACATTGGGTGGATCAGTGTGAAATTTTAGTCAGTGTTTGCAAAGATAGATTACAGGGTTGGAAGCTGCTGAGTGTCACTCAGTAACTTAAAGAAGTTCACATTTTCTCTATAACATAATTTGCTTTTCATGGTTTATTTTCACTTAGTTATGATCTGTCACTACTGTCAGTTAGACGCACCTGTTATCACTGGTCATCAACATTATCATGAGACGTCCTTAGCCCCAGGTATACAGTTTCCTTCACCTGTCAACACTGCAATGTACACACGTCTTCACCTGTCATCATCACCATCTACACCACAACTGCAGGTGACACTTCGTCAACCACCACCAGGGCCAATAATCGCCAGTGTCATCGACTAAACTCTCCAATCGGTCGAGACCTCGAAACAGGAGGAAACAACAGCGACGAAAAGTCCTTATGATGTACTCGTCCTTCTCATGAAGCTCCTGTGAAGGCCGTCTTGTTGAAGAGACTGTTAGAGAAATACCCTACTGGATAACATCAAGGAG